GAGGAGCAGGTTTGGGGGGCAGGTGTGACATCGGGGGGCTGAGATACCCCATAAGCAGCTGGAAATTGGACTGGGTTCTGAGCCCCAGAACCCGGTCCAATTCTCCTTCTCCAAGGAGAATGTTGTCAGATGCCGTGTGGAGACTGAATGAGAAGGACTTGCAAGTGTTTGTTTGATCTGGTCACTGAAACTGGACAGTGGCAGTTTTAACCTTATTCTGGGGGTGAGGGCCAGAGGGCAGTGAGTGGAGAAAGGCACAGAGGGCAGGAAGGTAAAACGGGGGATCCAGAGCAGTGGTTTCTAGGATGGCTCAGATCAGAATTGCCTCACATGTGTGAGAAACGCAAGCCTACCCATAGAAGCAGCTCCCTGGGGAAGGGCCCGGAAATCAACATGGCTAAAAGCGTGGGTAACTTGTGCGTTGCTGGTGGAGAGGTAAAGTAGCACAACCGCCTTGGAGAACTGGTTGGAAGTTTCCTGTTGAGGCCAATGTAAACAGCCTGGCTTAGCCATTCTACTCCTAGGTATTTTCCCAACAGAAAAGAAAATGTAGGTCCAAACAAAGACTAGCACACAAATGTTTGTAGCAGTTCGATTCACATTTTTCCAGTCAAAAACTAGAAATACCCCCGTGTTCATCAACAGATAAATTGTGGTCTGTCCATGCAGTGGAGCACTCTTCTGCCCAAACTAAACAAAACAAAAGAAAGGAACCAGACGCAAGAGAGACCCGGCTGTGTGAATTCCATTTGTGAAGTTTTAGATCAAATGCAGTGAATCTCTTCGTGGTTGCATGGGTAAGGTCAGGGATTTGGCATCCAAAGGGGTGTGAGAAATGTTCAGGGGGGTGGGAATGATCTATATCTTGATTGTGAGGATGTTTGTAGGCAAGTGTTCATTTTTTAAGACTCACCAAACTGTACATGTAAAGTGGACCCATGAGAGAGAGGAGAGCGCAGGCAAAAGAGGGAAGGGAAGCCCAGAGGTTTGGTGTGTCAGTGGGCAGAGGGGAAGGAGTTAGCCGGCCAAGAGGACTCGGAGGTCCTTGGACACAGGGTACCGCTTGCAGGCTTAGATAGATGAGTGTGGAATATCTATGAATCTGAAGGCGAAGCCATTGTCCTTTTTAGACGTGTGAAGGCAAGAGTGGTAGAGTTGGGCACAGTTGGAGGGCGAAGGGCAGGAAGTTTCAGAGGGTTCACTCTGACCCCCTGTGCCACAGGAGGCTGAGTTGTGAGTGGAGAGAAGGGGGCCATGAGGCCAGGAGTGAAGGTCTGAAACACCAGCTGTGAGGGTCAAACCACCAGGGAGTGGAGAAACGTCTCTCCTGTGACAGGGGGCCCAGCTGGCTGGCCAAAGATGTATAATGGTGTCTCTGAGACTTTTCTTTTTGAAGAAAAGCACTGCAGCCTTTTCTTCAGCAGTGCTCAGAGCCTGGGTGGAGGGAGTGGGGTTGCTGGGTAGACTCTGGGTTGAGTGTTGACAGAGTCTAGCTGCTGGATCATTAGAAGTAATCCATGCAGGGCAGGAATAGAAATAGGAAGGAAACTAACAGAAATATTGAGCATCTCCTACGTGCCAGGCACTGTTCTAGATTTTTGGGATATAGCAGACAAGAAAAGATGAATCCCAGCCCTTACAACGTTTATAGTGGCTAGAGTTAGACATTAAATAAAATAAACTATACTATGCTTCAGAGGTGGTAAGTGTCACGGAGAAAAATTAAGCAGGAAAAGGAAAAATTAAGCAGGAAATTAAGCAAGGAATTCTGGCAGGTGGGGGGTGGTCAAGGAAGACCTCTCTGAGATGGTGACATTTGCTCAGAGACCTAAGCAGAGGAAACAGCGAATGCAAAGGCCCTGAGGCAGGGGCACGCTTGGCAGTATTTGAGGAGTACAAGGAGGCCAGCGCTTCTTTTGCAGATAAAAATGTTTAAAGTTTTACCCTCATGAACTTAGACTAAGGGAAGAGGTGAATATCTATCTTGAGTCATTTCTGTCTCAAGTAAAAAGGGAGGAATTGATTCGCACAAAGCAGGAGCCACAACGAGTGTCCCGTGATCTCACCGGGTTTCCCTGAGTGTAAAGCCTGTCCGTTGTCGGCCTGACCTGCCGGGGGAGTCGAGTCGAGCACCGCGGCTGCTCCCAGGGCAGCACTGAGCAGGTTCCTTTCTCATGGGGTTAATCCGGGAAACTGATCACAAATGGCAGCTGTTCAGCCATTTTCTCCTCTCCTGATATTTTTACCTTTACCTGACATCCTTACCTTCAGCTGGAGTAACACCTGTTTTTATACATGTAAAGTAACCCCTTGTTTTTCCTTTCTGAAAGTAAAACAGCTTTTCTCCTTATCAGCCTCCGAATAGATAGAGTGGCTTATTTTGTAGCAGTATTTGTTTATATTCTTATAGTTAGGCCAGGTTTCTTTTCTCATGGCTGAACCTTTTTTTTTTTTTTTTTAAGCAAGACTCTTGCCTGATACCAGTTCCTATTATTAAATCAAGAACAACCACCCTTTCGTGTTGGGCTCTCACTGCGTGTTTTCAGATGATGCTTTTTGCTTTTATTTTGCTGGCTTTCCCAACATTTTTATCTTTAACCTTTTATATTATGGAAAATTTCAAGCATATGTGGAGAGAACAGTCAGATGACCACCCCATTATCACTTTCATCCTTAAACAGTTGTCGACAGGCGGCCATTTTTTTTTCATGTTATCCATTCCTCCCTACAGTTTTTTCCCTCTGGCAATTTAAAGCAGATCTCAAATTCAAATGGTTTTTTAAAAAAAAGAAGTCAGACACTTGCTTGCCTTCTGGGAGAGCTGTCGTAACAGTGGTGCCGTTACCTGGCCTAGAGTTCTGTGGGTGCTTATTTCAGAAGGGACCCTATTTTACCACGTGGATGGGAACGCTGAAGTGGCCAGAAGGTGCTCCTAGTGGAGACCGTCTCCTCCTGAGCCTAGAAAAGCAGCGTGGTTCTCAAACCCCAGTGCTGTTGTCCCGCCGCTACCTGTTCCTGGCTCCTGCAGGTGACGGCCTGGAACTGTTTTGGTGCAGGGCACTTGGGGACCTGAGGCCTCAGTGTCAGGTGACCCGTAGATAAGCTCTAAAAACCAGGAAAATCTGCACCTGGAGACGAGTCCCTGAAAGTGCACAAGCGCTGTACCTGAAAGATAGGCTGACCGACAGGAGGGGGGATCCTGTTGGACTCCATGTCTTGTTTTGGTGACTTGCTAGAATGCGGCAGTGTTGTCCTCGTCCGCAGCGAACCTCGGAGACGCCCGCTGCACCGCCGTGCTTGCTGTGGGGCCGGGCCTTCCCACTTTTCCTGGCCGCAGGGCTGCAGCGGCACCTGGACTGTTTGGGGGGGGGGGGGGGCAGTGCTGGGTGCCCTGATTTCCTGTCTCTTGCATCAGTCTGTTTGTGAGCCTGTACCGAGAGCTGATTAATGGGAGCGACGAACATATGCTTACTGACTGGAAGTGTTCCCTGGTTCCTAGAATGTTTCGGCTTTAATGAATTGTGTGTGTTGCCCACAGACCACCTGTGGTGTGTGCTTCTGTTGTTGTGAACACCGTCTGCCTTCACGGAGGGGCTGCACTTGTAAAGCAAAGTCAACAAAAGATAAGGCTTGCAAGAGCTTTCTTTGTCTGGCAGTCCCAGCTGACTGGGAGAATGAGCTGCCTGTCACCGTTGGCAGAGCAGCGGAGCCTGGAGCTCTGTGTCCAGAACCGTGCCGCAGTATCTGCTGTCCTCATCCTGGCTTTGAGGTTGTGGGTGTACTGGCTCTGCAGCCCATGGGGGTTCTAAATTCTGTTACCTCCCCAGGGGATACTTTTTCATTGCTCTTAGAGAGAGAGGAAGGGGGTGGGAGAACGAGAGAGAAACATCAATGTGAGAGAGATACATCAATTGGCTGCCTTCTCATATACACAGGGGATTGAACCCACAACCTTCCGGTCTACGGGACAATGCACCAGCCAGCTGAGCCACACCGCCCAGGGCTACCCATGGGGTTTTTGATCGCTAGAAATACCTCATCACTGTGCCATCTCATGCCTGTGGGTTCCAGCTCTGTCGCAGCACTGCGCTGTCAGTGGCCTCTCAGCCCCACTGTCCACCCCAAGGGGCCAGGCGTGTCCTCCAGATCTGTGCCCAGGAGAACGTGGGGGAGGAGGAATTCTGCCATTTTCACAACTGCAAATGTAACACTGACTTTGAGAGAAAACTCTTTTCCCAATTTAAAAAGTAACACCTACTTTTGCAGAAATTTGGGGAAATAGAGGAAAGTTGGGGGAAGTCACTTACATTTCCAACAGAGATAGCTCACAATTAGCATTCTTTGCCTCTGTGTATAGTTTTCTATGAACTTTGAAGATTTTCCCCTCAGCTGCACTAATAGTCTGTGTACAATGTTATCTCTTCTCCTAAACATAATAGTCTGAAAATTTGTGTATGTTTTAAAACTTTATAAGCACGTTTAGGAGCCCTAATTTTCTTCCAAGTGGACATTTCATAATTTAACCATGTTCCTGAAGTTGGGTCATTTGTAATGTTACTGTGAGCATCTTTGTAGAGAAAACATTTTCTAGGTTTGTCATTTTTATACTAGACCTTATAGAGTCAGGAGAATGAACACTCAGAGGCTCTAAGATTGCCATATTGCTGCCCCCAAGGGTGGATGTGTCAGGGAGTGACTCTGTGACCCACCGTCCACTGTGGGTTCTGACTGTCCTTCCTCCCCTGTCCGTCCCCCAGTCCGGCATGTTTCCTGACAGTGGTCCCATTTTGCTGTCAGTTCTCTCTCCAGTCTCAGTGACGATCGTAAGAGCACACACCTGCGCCTTTGTGTGCGTGTTTTCTAAGGTGCCTTCACGCACGTTATCTTGTGTAGGTCAGTTTAAGTTACTGGAACAACTTGGGAGTGGGTCCTGGGAACTCTCTAGGAATCTGGATGTTTTGGAGTCTGTCTGATGATGCCTTTCTTGTTCTTTCACGCAGATCCAGTTCTGCAGGTCCCAACACACGTGGAAGAGTAAGTTTATCCATTTGCTTCAGCACTTCCCTTGAATCCGTTTTCTGAATTATTCAGTGTTTGTGAGGCTGGTTGCTGAGAGTACATAGGCATACGTTAAAGGTAGAATGGGAATGATGGAGACACAGGAAGTCTCACAGGTGCCGCACCGGAAGCCTGCGTCAGGGAGAGGGCAGTCGGCCCTTTAGGTGGGGGGTCGGCAGCATTATGGGGGAGGGAGGCAGTGGTATTAAAAAGGCTTATTTGAGATGGAACTTAAGTTGAGTTTTTAAAGTTGAGTTTTAAGCTTCCAAAGGAAGGCCTGAGGGTTTAGAGCTCTCCCTGCACAGGTGTTAACCACAGAGAACATACAACCTGACCTGCTGCTGGGGTGCGTGTGCTGGAATAAAAGCTGGGTGGCACCTGTAAGAGCCTCCAAAGACAGTCCATCCTGAGCAGAGAAGAGACTCCTCCAGGGGTTTCCGAGAGACCAGGTGTAGTCTTTAGCAGGTTAACTTGACCACAGACCACCTCACACCTGCTGCAGGGGGAGCTGCCGGTGGAGAGACTTTTATCCGTGTCCTTGGCAGGTTCTTTCTGATGTCAGGCTTTCAAAGTCTGCTTTTATTGCCTCCAGTTTAAAAATCAATGTTTGTTGAACACTAAAGGTAGATTAGTTTACCTGTTTATGTACCATGCCGTGCTAGTATTAGTTGTTGCAGTTGTGTACACAATTGACTTGGAAGCTGAAAAGCAGACTCGCCAGGTTCTTCTCGCCTATTTCATCCTCATCCAGACGGCTTTCGCCCAATGACGTAGGCTTCTTTGATGTTTTGCGATTTTTCTTGTGCAGGTTGTTTTTTTCTACTCAGGTGCAGTATTCACCCCCAAAGGGATAGTTTGTGCTAGAATGAAAAAGCAGTGGGTGGAATCGGCTCATATACACCACGCCCCACCCGGTTCCCCTCTCCCCCAGTCCCGGCTGTGACAGTGTGTTCCGCGCCCTGGGCCGTAACTTCTCACTGACACTCACTGCTTCATTTCCAGGCCTGCCTTCCTCCCAGACCCCAATGACGGCAGCCTCTACACACTTGGGGGCAAGAATAACGAAGGCCTGACGGTGAGTGTCCTCCCGAGTTCTGGACCAGCGACCCTCCAATCCTGCACACTGAGATCACTTGAGAACATGAAAGACATTTTGGGGGGATTCTGATTCAGGGGGTCTGGAGTGGGGCCTGGGCATCAGTGTCCTTTCACGGCCTCCGAGCTGAGCTTTGAAATGGCAGCCGGAGTGCAGAAACATCGATCGAGCCCAGCAGGTTCGGACGGCCCAGCCAGCACCCCGGAGAGGTGTAATACTGCCCTCAGCCACAGGGTTCACTCACACTAGTGATTCTCAAATTGGTGCTGGTGGTGGCAGGGCGGGGGGTGTTGTTTGAAAAGCTGCCCATCCCCCTGCAGACGCCCCGTGCAGGGCGTGTTATAGTCTCACCTCCATTTGAGAATCTAGATGGTTCCCCACCTTGGCCACACATGGTAATAACCTGGAGCGCTCCAAAGAAACACTGAGTGTAGGTACCAATTTCGGAAGTCTCCATTTAATCAACGTGGGCATCAGGATTTTTAAAAACTCCCCAGGTGAGAGAATTTAGAAACAGGTCCCACATGCGAGCACCTGACTGCGACAAAGGCGACACCGCAGGGTGTCGCCGTGGGGAAGCCGGTCTTGTCCACAAATGCTTTGGGTCCGCAGGGAGACCCGCAAGGGGGAAAACCTTGCCTCCCACCTCCCGCCAGACATGCGGAGCTCTGTCCCAGACGGACTGCACGTCTGAACACGAAACATGAAACAAGGCTTTAAGGAAAAAAGTAGCAGAACGTCTTCGTGACCTCAGAGTAGGTTAAGATTTCATAAGTAGGATACAAAAAACCCAAATCAAAACAAAAACACCCCATGCTAACTATAAAGGAAAAAAATCAGTATATTGAGTTGTATTCAAATTAGGAAGTCTTTGTCTTTCAGAGACACGAGAGAGGCAGGCTGTGATGTGTTCACAGTACCGTGTCTAACGAGGTCCTCATATTCAGAGCACACAGGGTGGGGCAAAAGCAGCCTTGTAGTTGCTTGTATGGAAAGCTATACAATAGTTAATAAATAATAATACAAGAATAAACTGTGTTTCGCTTACCCGCAACTATAAACCTGCTTTCGCCCCACCCCGTATAACCAACTCTTATGGATTATTTTTGAAAGACAGACGACCCGGTAGAAAAGTGGAAATAGTGGATATCCAAATGGTCACTAAACACATGAAAAGGAGCTCAGCTTCATCAGTCACTAGGGAAATGTAAATAAGAACCACAGTGTCCTGCTACTGCCCACTCGCTGGAAGGGCTAATGAGAAACACGGGGAAAGAAAACAGGTGTGAGGAGGAGGCTGGGAGCAAGCAGAACTCTCTGTGCTGTGGTAGAAGTGTGGGTGGGCGCCGCCAGGTTGGCGAACTGCTTGGCGGTGTCTGCGCCAGCCTGGTGACCCCGTAACCCCCCCTCTCAGGGTGCATGCCCAACTGCAAGGCATGTACGTGCTCACCAAACGACAGGTGCCCTCATGTACTGCGGTGCTATATATAATAACCAAGAAGTGAAAACTGCCCAAATAAATGGCATCGATTGTCGACAGGATCCACGAATTACAGAATTGTTTACACTTTAATAGTCTACACCAGTGGGAATAGTCTGCGGCGACACAGGTGAATCTTGCCAAAATGATGCTGGACAAAAATGACAAGTCTACACAGTGAATGATTCGTTTCTACAAAGGCTCAAAGACAGGAAACACTAGTCTGTGATGTTTTAAAGTTGGGATAGTGATTACCCTGGGGTGTCACCATTGGAAGAGAGGGCAAGAAGGGGCTCTCCGAGCGCTGTCAAGGTCCCGTTTCGTCCCGTTTCACCTGGGTGCTGGTTACACGGGTGCGCTCACGTTGCAAAATGTAACCGAGTGTACACTTTCGTGAGCTTTCCATGTGTAAGTTCTGCTTCTGTGGAAGGTTTAAAAAGCCTCTGATGTGCAGCTAAGGTTGAGGACACATGGTCTGGACTGTTACTGGCTTGGGAGCTCCAGTTTGGGTATTTTAACGTTATTTGATGAATACCTGTGACTGAAACAGCGGGGAGAAGGGCAAGTCTTGTGTAGAGGTGTGTGCATTCCACCTTCAACGTTTCTCCCCATGCCACTAGCACCTCCATTTCTGAAGCACTCTGTGAGCCAGACACAGGCTGCCGGTGTTGCCCCATGTTGGAGGAGTGGGCAGCGTGCCTGTGGAGGTGAGGGAACGTGCCCAAGGCCAAAGCTTCGAGTGTTGCACGTGGGGCTTGAAAAGCTCTGCAACTTCCCAAGGATGCTCTGACCAGCACTGCGGTTTAGCGGCTTCCAGGCACAATGTGTTTCCAGCCCGAGCCCTGAACCAGGAGGCTCTGCAGATGCCACCAGGACTCCAGGCTGGAAGCCTAGCGCTGACTTTCTGATTCTCAGAAACGTCTGGCAGAAGCCCAGTCATTACAACTTCTCTGGGGCATTTTTTGCTTTTCTAAGACTCAGCTTAAATGTCGGGGTGATGGGAAAATCCAAATGATGAATTATTTCAAGTTCTCTTGACTGAAGCAAGGGAGAAATCTTCTCTCCCGTAGAGCAAAAGGCAGTGTAGTAGCAGCAGGTATCTCTAGAACAGTTTCAGGAACACAGAACGCTCCAAAAATAACGTCTGCTGAAACAAACCTTCACCAGCAGGGCTCGTCAGATGTCAGCTGTAGGCTCAGCAGAATCCGTTTCATGAAATGCACTGGAAACACCTGGATCCCTTTGAGTTTCTTTTCCTGGCATCTACCATAACTTCCTTTTAATACCAAAGGTCCGATTTTCTTCTGCTTTTCAGTAGAGAATTATTTATTGAAGGAAACACCGAGACCTCTTTTCCACCTCAGACTCCTATGTTGCCCACATAATGGGGACTGTTTTTTCTCGAAGCTGCAGCTGGGCGCTACCATTGCTTCTGTCAGGATTGTGTTGTGGCTCACTCTTGCTCAGAAAAACCTTGATATTCTACTCAGTCTAGCTGGCTCTGGGTCAATTTTCCAAAACTGGAGAGTTTTTCCCGCCCCCCATTAGAATTTCAAAGATTGTGTAACTGTCCATATTTGTGTAAGTCTTTTCAGAAAAGGTTTGTGTCATCCCCAGAAGGGCTCTGGAAAAGACACTTTGAGGGCCTGTGGAATAAAAAGGAGCCAGTGCTTGCTGTGCCAGGGGCCTGGGGTCCGAGGACCTGTCCCAAAAGGGTCTGGAAGCCTGGGGCACCCCTTCTGCTTGGTTTCCAGTTAGGAAAACTCCTGTCTCCCATCAACAGTGCTTCCCTCTTTTTAGCAGAATTGGGTAACAGAACCAGATTGTGTCATAAAGTTGTAGTAATTGCATAAGACCTGGTTAACTTATTTTTTCCTTTTTTTCTTTAAAGAAACTTCCCTTTACCATTCCGGAGTTGGTTCAGGCATCCCCATGCCGGAGTTCAGATGGGATCCTCTACATGGGTAAGAGCTCCTGTTTTCCGCCCTGTAACTGGGAGCTCTTTGGAAATGGGCCCCAAAATCTGGGCAAGTGGCGTCTCTGAGACAGAGGCGTGCGGCCCCTCCCCACGGGCCCTTCTGGGAAAGGTCTTTCTTGCCTCGGTTGGGCTTTTTCACGCCAGGATCACTGAACAGTTAAGAAAGGGTTCCCCCGACTTGGGACCAGACTTGACACCATTAACATGGTTACTCATTTAACAAGCTTTCAGCTGCTGTGTTGACCTACCCCTGCGATTTAGAGATTGCAACATACCAAGGAGAAACTGGATGAAATTTTAAGTGAACACAATAGTCTGAGCCAAGAAAGGGAAGCCAGGCTCCTGCCTGTTAATTATCGGGCTTTCTTAGTATTTCCTGCTATCAGAACATTGGGTAGAACCTGCACTTAACATCTCGCCTAGATAAGCTGCCTTCATACCTGCAGGGGTCACATCTTTCAAAGCATCAAATCACCTGCTTTCCTTTTACCGTGTTGCTGCCAAAATGTCAATAAAAATGCATTTGTAACACAAAGGAGAGCTGTATTTATGTTGAAATCCTAGTAGTAATAATATCCTGTGTTTATACACCAGTTTCTGGAGGAACTGAAAGTGCTTACTGCCTGTTGGTGCCTCGGGAGCTGTGGGTATATTTCTGGGCGTCAGGTGCAGGCCGAACCTTAGGTTTTTGTAGGGACCCTGGGCTCCGGCTTCTTTCCACACCTTCAGAATGAAGACCTCCCTCCCCCTCCTCCCCACCCCCCTGCAGCCTAGGAAATTGGAGGCAGTGCTCAGCCCAGGCTTTCTCGCCTCTGGGCCAGGCCCCAGGCCCCTCTGAGCACCTTCTGACCGTCCCTGTCACTGTTTTCCATACGGTCTTCCAGGTTTTCCCAGTGAGTCACCATTTATGGTGCATGCAGGGCATTGTGGGTCTATCGCGTTTGTGTGGTGCCCTCTTAAGTGAGTCCATGGCGCATGTTCAAGTGTGGCAGTTGCCCAGTCAATCCATCCATTAAAGTGGTAGGTGGGTTATGGAGACTGTAATGGTCCTCAAAGTAATGCCATGTCGGATGGAAAGAGGTCGTGCTCACAGCCATTCGGCGCTGTTTTCACTTATAGACTTTCTGCTGTTCAGATTCGTTGCAGAGAACAGGAAGTTGCAGTCCATGGACAAGTATCACACATGTGGGCTTGTGTGATACATCTGTCAGAGCTAAGCGTAGCTTTGGCGCATTCGAGTGCCCTGTGCCCTTCCTGGCATCTCAGTACTCGGTTTCCAAGAATTCACTGACGTAGGAGACCTGGGCTGATAAGTCAGGCAGATCCGAGTGACCAGAGGCCACGCCTCATGAAGCGGAAATGGCACACATCACGGTGAGCCTGCGGGCCTGCAGGTGGGAGGCCTCTGCTATGGTCTCACGGCTCCCATGATGCTCTCGTGTACATGCCGTAGATACACCGTTCTGAGTTTTCCCAAGTGTTATTCGGTTGTGCCGTCCGCCTGTTCTTACCTTCTAGTCAGCCGACCACAGTGAGAGGTGTAGCCTATGGCCAGGGGAATAACTTTTACTGGCCAGGAAGGGGTTAGAGGAATGAGAAAACTTTGGCCTCCTTAGCACCAGGTTGCAACCAGCTGCACTGCCCAGTCACAGGCACCAGCTAATTTGAGTTATAAACAATAACTGTAGATTCTCTTTGCAAATGAGCTCATTAGTAGGGATGTTGAGATATATGCATGAAGGTGACCAGAGAGATGACCCCTGGGAACATTTCTGTATTTATGTGGATCTTAGTCGATGGGACAAGGACTGCCTTTTACCGGCCAGGCTTGTAATATTTAAGGCCACTAATCAAAGCAATGCAATCTAGGAGCTACTAGGTTTGGAGAAATTTCCATACATGATTAGGTTATTAAGTTATCGTTAGACCTGGTGGCCCAAGAAACCTCATTATCTCCACATTGCCATTTCCTTTGTCACCCTCAGAGCAGGGCGACACCTGCAGCATTGTGAGAATTTCAGGCTGGACCCTCAGCACAGAGGACATCTTGGGCTGCTGGTTTGGCAGTGACACTTTTTCCATACAGGACAAGTGTAAACCACAGTGTGTCCTGGTGACGTTTCAGGTAAAAAGCAGGACATTTGGTATGTCATCGACCTTCTGACCGGAGAGAAGCAGCAGACTTTGTCGTCGACCTTTGCAGATAGTCTCTGCCCTTCGACCTCTCTTCTGTATCTTGGGCGAACAGGTAAGAAGGACCCTTTTGTTGTGTACAAACCTGCCTGTTTTCAGAAAGGACGAGCAGTAGCCTCTCCATGGGTCTGTCTCTGGGCTTCATTCTCGAGACGGTGGCCAGAGGTGGTTTGTCCAACACAGATTTTACCCCATGGTGCCCCTTTCTAAGACCCACCGGGGCTCCCCACTGCCTGGGGTTACAGTCCGCAGTACACACGCCCCAGGAACGCAGCTGCTACCTCTTTCGCCCCCTCCCTCACTGTGTTTCCCTCATGTCAACATTTCCCAATCAAGATGAACTGCCTGCAGCTCTACAAAGTGCTATTTTGAAAAACTTGGGATAGGGGTCCCTGGGATAGGGGTCCCTGTCTACCAGGGATGCAGGTTTTTGCCTGTCTGGCCAATGTTCTCTGCACATCGTTGCTCGAAAGTCACCCTCTCTGTGAAGCCTGTTCCTCACCTCAGCTCCCGTCCCCACCCAGGACAGCAGCTGTTCCCGCCTCGGGACACATGCCGTGTGGGTCCCTTACGATGGCTGTCTCACCGCTCGTCACTGGCCCTTGGAAACGTCAACAGCACCCTCCTCACCACACCATATTCTATCACCTTTCTTTTCAGCCTTGTCATCTTGTTGCTTTGTTTTATTTTCTATTTTTAGACTTTTTTTATTGTTCGATTACAGCTGTCCCCATTTCCCCCCATTACTCCCCCTGCCCTGCCAACCCCGACTCTTGTCTCCTTAATACCTGTCACTATGTGTTTTGAAATCGTATGGCCGATTTTCTGCCTCCCCTACTGCACCATCCGCTTCCCGAGGGCAGGACTTGGCTTTGCTCCCCTGCTGTGTCTCCACAGCGGCCCCTGTCCGACACGTAGCAGGTGCTCGGTGCTCGGACGTTGGAGCGAGAGAGTGAGCGGGCGGGTACTGAGCCCTTTCGCTGCAGGGATCTGCCTTATTCCTTCATTACAGGTGTGCAGCGCCCGACAGCTACTGGTACTCCATACAAATGTTGGAGTAGACAGTTAACATAGAGCTCAAAGGGGAAACAGTAAAACATTTAGAAGGAGAAAATTATACCCCAAACCTAGAAGGAAATCATTACCATCGAGCGTTCAATTTAAGTCTGAACATTCAAGTAGCCAAAACTTTAAAAAGACGGAACCTTCCTTCGGGTGCTGTGGACAGCAGTGCGTTTTCTAGGAATGAGGGAGACCTGTCTGCGGCCCTGTAGCAGCTGGCTGGGCTCTCCTGTTTCGAGGGGAAAGTCTCTTTGTTTCATTATCTGTTGCTGCATAACAAACCACCCTAGCTTATTGGCTTCAAACACCAACACTTCATTGCTGCGGATTCCGTGGGTCAGAAATCCAGGGACAGCTCAACAGGCACGGACGCCTCCACTCCACGTGCTGTAGGCTGGGCTTGCTCAGCCGTCTGGGACTTGGTTCAGCTCTGTACAGAGAGCTTGGACTTCTTTCATGACAGCTGGGTATCCCCCCTTAAGTAAGTGTGGATGTTACCATGCTTCTGAGGCCTGGGCACAGAAGCTCTGGAACCTCAGGTCCACTGCAGGCTGTTGGTCAAAGCAAGGCCAGCCCGGGATCAGGGGCTGTGGGGAGATAGACTCAGCCTCCGATGGGAAGACTGACACACACAGGACTGGGGATGGTGGTGGTGATCTTTTCAGGCCTCCCCCCAGCTGTGATAGTTTATGCCCCTCCCACATGCAAACTGTACTCAGATATACTCCTGAAGTCCAGTCACAGCATCAGCCTCAAACTCCAGCATCTTGTCATCTCCATGAGGTCGGGAGGTGGGCGAGGCCCACCCAGAGCTGAGACGGCAGGACAGCTGCAGCGATCAGACCTCCCCACGGCCAGGGGAGCAACGGGAGGCATGAGAAGTCACTGGTCCTTAGTGGTTCTGGGGTCCAGCCAGGATGTTCTCAGTGCGCCTGCTCTGAAGGCAGGACGATTCCTTGGTGAGGGCCCAGCCTTGCCCTCTGGGGTTGGTTCCCTGATACGTGGTTTTTAGCAGCTCTTGGTCCTGCCCTCTGAGAATTCCGTAAGAAACGATTAGCGTTTGACAGCTTTTCTTCATCTGTTTCTTGGCCATTGAAAGTTGGGGGTTAGAGGCCTTTGTTGGTTTTTCTTTCTTTTTTTTTTTTTGTTTTGACTGTCTCTGGTTCTTTAGTCCATGCCGATATTACTCCTTTTAAAACTCTGTGGACTTCGCATGTGTGAGAGTATAGTCTGTTCTATCAGATAAAGCCATACCCACAAAGCTCTCTGCTTCGTGCTATGGACACCACTCTGAGAGCTCTTAGAGCCCTCGTACCCACCAGAGGGTCTGTGAATACCCCCTTAAATCTTCCCCAGGTCTCAAAGAAGGGTCTTACTGCCTCACCCTTGATTTCATCGTGGCCCTATGGCCATTTTTTACATTGAGAATCTTTTTCAGCTGGAATGTCAGTCCTGAATCCTCTCTATTTCCTCTCTATTTAGCTTGAAAATGGAGTTATTTCTTCAGTTTATCCATCCTGCATTTTATCACGTGCAGTTAAGAGAAACCATTCGGCACTTTGCCTAAAGATCTCTTTAGCCAGAGCCACTAGTCCATTCAATACTTTCTTTTTATTTCCTAAGTCACTGCCAGCAGTCGTCTCACCAGTGGTGTCCCCACTACGTAACCTGGGCCACCCCTTTCCAGCTTCTAGCAGCAGGCTCTTGCTGCTCTTTGAGTCTCCACGTGGACCTTTCGGCCACCATCTGCTACCTGGTCCCACTGATGCCTCATGTTTTAGGTGTTTGTTGTGGCACCTGCCCACTTTCAGGCACCAGTTTCTAATATCATCTCTCTATTGCTGTGTAATAAACTACCCCAAGACTGAGGCGACATAAAACAACACCGTGACAGTGCTCATGGGTCTGCGAGTCATGAGAGGGGCACAATGAGGGTTCACTCATGTGTCTGGGACCTCAGTTTTCCTCGTGGCCTTTCCACATGGATGGCGTGGACTTTTTTCACAGGCAGTTGAGGGTGGCTCTGTCTGTCGTGGTTTAGATACGGTGAGCACCTCAGTGGGTGCTGCGCCCCACCCCCCCACCCCGAGTAACGGGCTGTGTGTGTTCTCCAGAATACACCATCACCATGTACGACACCAAGACCCGAGAGCTCCGGTGGAATGCCACCTACTTTGACTACGCGGCCGCCCTGCCCGAGGACGACGTAGACTACAGTAAGTGCTCCCGGGGCTCTGCCAGGCTGGGTGGCACTTGGGGTCCGCGAGGAGAGGGTGGCCCCAGAAGAAAGACTGGATTTTGTTTTAAGACACCCTTAGTCACCAGGTTCCGGGCTTTCCACGGACCTTACCCTTCAACGGCCAGTGTTGAGGGTAGGGTCCTGGTGAGGGGCGTGGAGGGAAGCCCAGGTCAGATGGTGGCCAGTGTAGCCTGAGAGAAGGGAGGATGCACTCTGCTGAGTCCCTCTGTGTCACAGAAGGAATTTTCTAGAAGCCCATGGGAAGCAGAATTAAACATCCAGTTGTGACATTAATAACTCTGCCCAAATGTGGCTCATCCTCTAGTTATTCCTCTAGCAAACATTTCCCTGACTCAAATGGAAGCCAAAAACCAATGTTTCCAACCTAACACTGGTATCTGGAAGTCTGACAGAAATCCCCTCTGGGGTCAGCTCCGACTTTGAGCTTGATTGATAGGTTTGACGACATTGCTGTCAAAGGCATCTCCGTGGGCTCCTTCCCCTCACTCTTCTCTCTCTCATTGAATGGAATGTAAAGAACATCACCAAGTAAATCGCCTTTCAGAGAGTGATCCTGTCTTAGTTTGTCAGCCAGGCAGCTGTCAGTGTGTGGATGTAGAGCCTGAGGAAGTTCACTGGAAATGGGGGAGGTTTGAGAATGTTCCAGAAGGCTCGTCCCCTCTGGCTGGGTGGCTGCAACTGGCCAGGAAGCAAGAGGATGTGGTTGTAAGATGGGGTGACACGCAGCATGGCTTTGTCTGATCTGTGCAGAGATGTCCCACTTTGTGTCCAATGGCGACGGGCTGGTGGTGACTGTGGACAGCGAATCAGGTGACGTCCTGTGGATCCAGAACTATGCGTCCCCCGTGGTGGCCTTTTATGTCTGGCAGCGGGAGGGCCTGCGGAAGGTGGTGCACGTCAACGTGGCGGTGGAGACCCTGCGCTACCTGACCTTCATGTCCGGGGAGGTGGGGCGCATCACCAAGTGGAAGTACCCCTTCCCCAAGGAGACGGAGGCCAAGAGCAAGCTGACGTGAGTCAGGGAGCTCGGGGTGGAAGAGGGCTGCTGTGACCCTGACCTTCCGGTCCTACTGCAGCACGAAACACCATACATTGGGGGCCAGGGCTCAGCAAGTGCCCCTGCAGTTGTGAGGAATGTAAAGAGCCAAGACTGGCTCATTCAGATGCCCAAGAATGTAAGAACTGGAGGCTCCCTTAGATGCTTCAGAATTATTGAATATTAAATAAATTAAATGATGGGTGGGGTTAGGAAAGAGATAGCCAGTATTCATGGTACAATTTTTATCGCAGGTGGTGGGAATATAAGAGATGTATTTATTTTTCAACTTTGTGTATTTTCTAAACTTTCCCTGTAAGTTACATTCACTTAAAAAAACAGGAAACCAGCGTTACGAGGTGTGTATCTAAGACTTGGTGGGCTTGCGCTCTCCATTCCCACCTGTTCATAGGTCACTCAGTCTTGCTGAGCCTCAGTTTCCCACTTTCGAGAGCTGTTGGAGAAGATCAAATAGGATAACATGGGTGAATGTGTTCTCTAAATTATACACCACCATTCAAATGCATGGTGTGTGTTGAGAAAGGTTTCCAGAATTGAGTAGACAACCATCCTCCAACTGGCTGTTGGCAGCAGTAACCAGAGGGTCTGACACCACAGACAAAGCCAAACCACACCCCCCTTCTCGGCCCAGACAGGACCAGACCTCGCTGCAGGGGACTGGAAGTCTCACCCAGTTCGGAATGTTTTTGTACGGTCTTAGGCTTTAGGCATTCAGATCGGCGCAGTTGGCTGTTTCTTAGGGGTTCTGTAGACTCTCTAGACTTCTTATGAACCACAAGACAGGATGCTGGTGATGCAGGTGTCCGCTCAGTTGTCAACTTGTGCTGGTCTGGGCCATCTTAGAGGCTTTGCAGGAATTACAAGCATTCGGTCGCTCGCACACAGTTGTTGCACGTGGGCCTTTCTGCAGGCCGTGGTGGGGAAGGCCAGGTACAGCCCTGCCGTGTGCAGATGAGGAAACCAAGGCTGTGTGTAACAGCTGGGGCCTGCAGCCCAGTTCTCCCGGCTGCCAGGACAGGACCCTTGCCTTCACCCCCCAGAGTGTTTAGGAGTTTATCGGGGTGTTCTGGGATGGTATTTGGGGCTGTGATTCTTCTCTCCAAAAAGCCTAGAATTTAAAGGACTGTGAGATGTGTGCATCTGTTTTTCTCCTAGGCCCACCCTGTATGTTGGGAAATACTCAACTAGCCTCTACGCCTCCCCCTCGATGGTCCACGAGGGTGTCGCTGTGGTGGTAAGTCCTCTACTGGGGGTGGGGAGGCTCACAGTTGCTCCTGTTCCATTTTCCAGAAGAGTGACTTTGACTCATAGATAAACATTTCTCTTTGCACATTGGTTAAGAATGCAAGACATGGATCTTAGATCCTCAAAAACAATCCCTACACATACCTCCTTCGACTTTCGTGGAATGCCGCATGAAAAGAGCAGCCCTGGCCACACCCATTTGCTTTTGTGTTCAAGTTTAAACCGCCCAGGCTGGTGTTCCCAGTCCTTCTCCACCCAGTCCCACGGTGCCCTTCCACCACACTGCCAGCTCCAACCAGGTGCCTCTTCGCCCTGATTTCGGAAGTTCTGTGTTCATCTCCCTTAGCCTTCATCCAGGCTGTGCCTCATCCTTCCAGCCCTCTCCCTCCTTCCTTTTCTCTGCTCAGATCCTTTTCATCCTTTTGTGACCTATCCAGGCCTCCTCGGCTCTTGCCAGCATTTCTCTAGTGCACCATCTCTGGACACTCGAAGCCTTATGATCTTGGCTACTCATTTGGTCCTTAACAGCGTTTGAGCCGTTTGGTTGGCATCTCTTGTCTTCCCAGTGAGTCGAGTTGGTCAGCTGCTCCCGTGAATAGGGCAGTGCCTGCGTCAGTTGAGGTCAGCAGCGTCCGAGCCAGCAGCTGGCTCATGGCTGGAGCTCACCGCCTCCTGGTCAGGTGCACTGGTTGTAGATTGACGGATGCCCTGGCATTTCCCTTCATTTACCCTGCTTCTCACAGTAGCCACTTGGAATTAGACACACACACACAATTCCTTAATCTGGGTATTCTTCCAAACTAAAGGATTTGAGAAGCGGTTCACATTAAAGACATCAGCTCAGCTCAGCACTGTCACATCTTGAGTGAGGAGCCTCTCCTGCCGAGTCCTGCAGCCTTTGCGTCTTGCTCTGACTCTCCTGGACTGGCCCCACCTAGAAGTATGACAGTCCCTTAGGTACTCAGGACAGTCACAGGGATGTTCTTCTGCTCACCTGCAAGGGCTTGCCCATAGGCCTCACTTCAGTTCTGTCTCCACAGCCCCGAGGCAGCACCCTTCCTTTGCTGGAAGGTCCCCAGACAGATGGTGTCACCATTGGGGACAAAGGGGAGTGTGTGATCACACCCAGCACGGACCTGAAGTTTAACCCTGGGCTCAAAGGAAAGAACAAGCTCAACTACCTGAGGAACTACTGGCTTCTGATTGGTGAGTGGGTTTCCCCTTTACTTAAGGTCACGTGCTGCCCCCTGGTGGGCAAAGCTGGCCTTGCTAGTTACAGTTTACAGTGTTGTGCTCAGTTCATGTCCTAGTTAGTCTTTCAGACCTTGAACGTTTTTACCCCCAAGGGAAATAAATACACCGGGGACTTGTGTTGCCAGGTCAGTTCTCGAAAATCACTAACGTTCCAACACTCAAGTCCTAAGTACAGTCATGTGTTGCTTAACAATGGGGACACGGGCAGTGCATCAGTAGCGATTTTGTCATTTTGCAAACCGCCCAGGGCTCACTTACACAAACCCAGGTGCTACAGCCTCTGACACCCCTAGGCCCTGCGGTGCGGCCTGTCACTGCCCGCAACACACGAGGTTAAATCGAGCATGAGAGAAAGTGAAGCAACAAGAGACACAGGAAACACGAGAACTCGAGATGCTGCCGGCATAACAGGGCACACTGCTCCGCGGGGAATGTGCTCGTGTGAGGAGAAAGCTCTCTAAGGTAATAATAAAGAGCACAGTGTGGTGAATACATAAACCAGTAACGTGGACGTTCATTATTAAGTATACGGAACGTAGTTGTACGTGCTACGCGCTTATCCGGCTGGCAGCGCAGTGGACCCTGGCTTGTTGACCCGGCACCGCCGCAGGCTGCTGAGTGACGTGTTGTGCCGTGGCAGGGTGGGGGAGTCGCTAGGTGACAGACATTCTTCAGCTCCGTTACACTCTGTTAGGACCATCGTCGTGTGTGCGGTCCATCGATGCCCAAAACGTGGTTACGTGACACCCGACTGTAACGGAGACTTTGCGCAAGTATCGGACACATCGAGTGTGGGTTGTGTCCCAGGCACTGAGCCTTTCAGGGTACATTTCCCTGTTTTTCTGGGTTACCCCGTGAAGTAACGTCCCTCGTTACTTCCATTTATAGTTGTGGAAACTGGAGCCGTGTCCGCGGAAGAATTCACTTGGAGTTGGTGTTGGCGTGGGAGAGGGAGGAGGAAGGGAGGGTTGAAGACCAGTAGCATGGAGGGTGGTGAAGAGTTAGAGGTTGGGCCTGGGTCAGGGAGCCACGGCAGAAATCCTGTGGGGGGGGGCCTCTTCCCTCTCTTCTGCTTTTGTTGCCCTCTCCAATGTCCCTGGGGTTGGAATGGAAGCCCTGTCAGCCAGCGAGATAAGAAATTGCGATGACACCCAAAGGCAGTGAGTGTGACCAGTGAAGGCAGAGGTGAGAGGGATGCGTCTCTGGCAAGTGTCCCAACTTCCTGCAGCCACCCCCAATTCTGCTGCCTCCCAGCCCCAGAGGTGGTGAGAGGTGGGGATGCAGCCCCAGGGGGTGGGGTGGGCAGGAGGGAGGTGGGGGTGACAGAGGGTACAGGGGCTAGTGAGGTTTCTCCTCATCATTTTACCTCTTGCTGTGCTGCACTGACTGGTCCCTGGGCAGAGAGGGGGCAGAGCCGGGCGCTGGGAAAGTGGTGTGCAGCGGAGGGTGGGGCCTTGGGGGTTGGATCTGCCTCGCGGGGGACCGGGCGGGGCAGAGCGGGTGTGCTGGGGCCCTGGTCGTTTTCTTTGTGCTGGCCAGGGCTTGTCTCCTGTGTTCGCCGTGGGTCCTTACAGCCATTTTCTTCTAGTTACTATTTTTTTGTTTAAATAATGGGCAAAGAAGATGACAAAAGAATTCCACTTTTTTTTTTTTTTTTTGAACAGAAGTAGTTTGGAAAACATGCGAATGGGCCCACAGTAAGGAAAAAAATGACGGCTACTTAGTTTTATGTACCAGTTAAGGGGGATGTAGACCACATGCTAATGGTTAAGAAGTGACATAAATTTTTGGCAACTAAGGAAAGGTGTCAGACTACAAGACTACAAAAAATGTGGGGGGAAAATCTTCCTGGCTCAGTTGCAAAATGATATCCTTTTAAAGTGGAAAAGAAGTTGCCCAACTAAGAAGACTGAAAAACTCAACAAAGTACAGAGTAATTAGGAAAGCATCCCGCAGCTCTGAAGGTCCTTTTGAGAAACTCCAAAGCCTAGCCATTTCTTTTTTAAGATTTTATTTATTTACTTTTAGAGAGAGGGGAAGGGAGGGAGAATGAGAAGGAGAGGAACATCAGTGTGTGAGCGATACATCAGTTGGTTGCCTCTCACACGCCCCTAACTGGGGACCTGGCCTGCAACCCAGGCATGTGCCCTGCGTAGGAATCGAACCAGACACCTTTTGGTTTGCAGACCGGTGCTCAATCCACTGAGCCACACCAGCCAGGGCCAAAGCCTAGCCAGTTTTAAATAAGGCCATGAAACTACTTGATAGTCTTTGTGTAGACTGGGGCCATGGGTCAAAGGCTATGCTCTCATGTTGAACTGTGTATGTTCTTTGATGTGTTTTTTTTTATAGAAGAAATGAAGGATCTCCTCACATCACATTAATCTTGAAAATAAAATGAGTCACTCAGCCAGAGCGGCCCTAACTTGCGGTGCTGTTTTACCCGGGAGCTTTGTCAGTTAGGCACTCGAGATCCCTGGGGAATCCCAGTTCTGAAGGTCCAGGGCAGGGCCTGTGCTCTTGCTCCGGAATCTGGACATAATTGAGGACGATAGATAAATCACTAAACCCAGGGACTGTCTGTGTAAAACTATTTCGGGATCTTACGATTCTGTCTGTAGCATAGTCCTTCAGAATGCGAAGCCTGATGTTACTAAAGGCCCAGCTACGGGCCTTCATAAGAAGAACTGGTTATAGGAAGAACTACAAGAGGAAGGGGAATTCGGGTCCATCCCTTCCATCGCAGTCTGTTGGTAGGTGCCCTACCAGAGGGGCAGGACCTGGAGCACCGAGAGCAGGCATTGGGGGTGGGAGCAGGCGGGACACCGCAGCCCACGGTGGCGTGTGGGAGGCACAACTTGATTTCTGTCAGAGTGGAGGTCTTCTGTTAGCATCACAGGTGCCCAGAGGTACCCGCAGTCAGCTCCCTGGTTCCCACCAGCCAGTCGGAGTCAGAGGTCTGAAGCTCCCCAGCAACACATGTCTCAACTTCTTCGGTCAACAAGACCAAACTAGTGGCGGTTCAAAACCGAATCAGGCTTCCCTTAGAGAGCAGTGCTGTGTCGTCGATGGAGAACTGACCCAAAGATAGGGACCTAAAGAGGGTTTTTCCAGACCAAGATATGTACGTAGCTTGGACGAGCTCTTGTTTGTTTGTATCCTGGTGATCTGTGCTAACCTTTTGATGGTTGGGGGGGTTAGCAGGAAGTCCGCAGTGAGATCGGATCTCAGGGAGAGACAAACAGGAACGTGTGCCAGGGTGCCCGCAGCCCAGCGAGAGCGGCCGACTGGCTCTTTTGGGTGGTGTGCGGAGTCATTTAACTGTAGCGCTGAACAGATTATCGAGCTGCGTCAAATCCCAGTTTCTTATTTTATTCAACCTCGTCTCTCTTTTGGTCATTTGCACACAGCAGGTGCTCAATAAATGTGTAATAAATGCTAGGCAGTCATGAAATAGTGTGTGGAGGACAGTGAATGAACGCCGAGAGCACCGTGACCCCCGTCGCTCTCTCATGAATCACTCGGCTCTCCGGGAGGGAGGCTCACATTAGATGACGGAGAGAGCTCCCCCTGAGGGATCTAAAACCCAGACGGGAAGTCGACGCTCTTCCTGGAGTGACGTGACCAGGGCAAGGGGCGGGGGCAGAACTGCTTCAACTCTAACCAAGCTGCACAGTGCGTCAGCCAGCAGCGGACAACCCAGGCTGGGAATTCCGCACCCAGTCTTACTCTGGAACGAATCCCCGCCGTCCTGATTCCTCCCCTGACAAGGAGACTTCTCGCTCCTCACTGTGAGGTTCAGGGTGCTGTGCACGTGCCACTGAGTAACAAAATTTCTGCCTTGATGAGAATTTTCTGGTCACTGCCTCTCACGTCCTCTCCCCTTAGAAACGTGTTTGCGCTGCGGACCCTCGGTGGGGGGCAACTGCCGTGGAGTGCTTCCCCACCTGGGACGCCGTCCTCCTGAACGGTTTTGTTTCTCTCCTAGGGCACCACGAAACCCCGCTGTCTGCGTCTACCAAGATGCTGGAGAGGTTCCCCAACAATCTGCCCAGACACCGGGAAAATGTCATTCCTGCGGACTCAGAGAAAAAGAGCTTTGAGGAAGTGAGCGGGGAGGAGAACTGTTTCCAGCTCGTCATGTCGGGTGTCGGGGGATAAGGCCTTGGCCTCGCCTTGGAGTTTGCAGTCTATTGAGGAGGGAAGAGGCAGGCAGGGAGTCCATGGCGAACCCCACATGGTTAAGGACCAGTGGGGAAGAAGGAGATGGCAGTTAGCAAAAGCCAGAGGAAAGGCCGTAGACGGAATGGTGGGAGGGAGGCAGAGGGCGCTGGAGGGGAGAACGGAGGTAGTGACCTGCAGGGGGGGCTGACCCTGGTGTGTCCAGGTGTGGGGCTGAGGAGACAGAGCGGACCAGATCTGAGACAAGAACCATGTTACCAAACCTGAACAACCCTTGGCAGGGCGAAGACAGAGGAAGTAGGAGACCTGGAGTTCTATTCCGCTTGGTCTGGTGGAGGTGGGACCTGGCAGGACCTGGCAGGACCCAGGGCACCTGTGGAAGGCAGTGCGGGCAGCGTGAGGCCCAGGTGGTAGCTGCTGTGAGGCTGTGACCTGCGCTGCCCTCCTGCAGCCCTGGGAGACAGCGTGTGCCAGTCAGGGTCCTCTGACACCCGTTGTAGGATGATTTGAGGGGGGGTGTTAAGAGAGGGACTGCTCACACAGGGGTTCTCTTACTAGCTTGACCCGAAGCAGGCAGGGAGGGAGTGGAAAGGGTGCCCACACCAGGAGCCTGGAACTTCCACCAAGGCTATGCAGCAGCCCCATCGAACTTGACCTCCTTCTCCTCCCTTCATCTCTATGACGTCTTAGTCAGAAACCAGAGAGCAGCTGGTTCCACACCAGAGGGAGACCATTGCTCTGCACATGTGGGGCAGCTTTCTGGGGCACAGAGCAGGTGGAGGAGGCCAGAGACTGCGTCTGCAGACAGGGTTGGAGCAGGTCAGTGGGGTGGGGGTCCGAGGCCATGTGGACTCGGCAGCTCCTGCAGCCCTGTCACGGGGCCCGGTGACTGGGAAGGGGCCTGGGCTACGGGCAGAGTCAGAGGAAGATGAGAGTGGCTGGTCGATACGGGGACCACGATCACCCCCAATTCACTGTAGAGATTTAGATTATACCCAGAGAGAAGGGAGAAGAAAATCACGTCCGAGTGTAAGGTTCCAGAGCAGCCGGTCTGTGCCGCCCCTTGTCTCTGGAGGCAGCCAGGTCGGGAAGGTACCGTGAGTCCTCAAACAGGGGTCTTGGGTAGCGTCGATGCCATGAAATCTCGACCTGACTTTGATCTTATTAAAGTTAAACACATTTGTGACTTACACTTAGAAAATAAAAGTGTAGAGAAGAAAATCAGACATCATCCTTAATCTGGCACCCAGAGGTAGCCACAGTTGGGATTTTTCATATTTAGTTGTCCAGTCTTAAAGATGGTTTCCTAAAGGTTCATTACAATACTCTGAGGTGCATTTATGTGGTAATAAGATGTAACTTTTCAGCGAATACACTTGAGCAACAGTATAACTAAATGAGTGTTGTCTGTGGTCACGTGTACAGCAAACACGCCTCAGCTGCCTGCCACACCCCCACACTCGGAGGGAGGGGGCAAGGGACACTGTGAGCAGAAGTCTGGGGGTGGGGGGGCGAGAGGTGTGAGCGTGGGGGGAGGCCAGGCCCCAGGCCCGCCGAGGGCGGTGTGTTAATCTGGCAAATGGTCATGCGCACCTGGAGCAGGAGGTCACTCAGCGCATTTCTCTAAACTATTCTTGAAGTCCTGATTCCAAGGAGCTTGGACAGAAGCCCTGCTTTTATCCGACGTAATTTGGGGCTTCTAAATAAAATGTCATTTAACAAAGGGTTCTGATGCTTTTCAAAAACAAAAACAGTGGACTGCTTGAACCAAGTGCTTTTGGTTTTGGAGTTGAACTGAGCATTTCAGGCAACGTAAGAAAGCTGCTTTCCGACTTCCTAGCCCCACATGTGTGTGTGATTTTCCTTTTTTGTGGGGAACGGCATTTCCAAATGGACTGCCAATCTTTTCCCCAGACTTTGTCGTGGACGGTTTCAGAGTTTCCCCAACTATTAAATCTGCCATCAGAGGAGGGCGTTTTCGCCTCCAGTGAAAGATTTTTGAAAGAAAATAGGATCCGAAAGCACTTTCAAATGCACTGCTGTAAAAACTGTTTTGGGGTAAAAGTAACATCACAGCAGTAATCCATCGCAAGGCGATCGCTTAGAAAAAGACAGCGACCATCGGCCTTGCGCTCGTTGGGTGGGCTGAGAGGAGTCAGCATGTCTTCCAGTCCGGTCGCTCCTCGTGAGTGGTCAGTGCTTCTCTTGACCTGCTTGTTTATGTCTTGCTAGAAATTTCACAGTGATGTCACCACTCTCTCCCATAAAAAGGTCATCCACCTGGTTGATCAGAATTCGGAGAATGCGCCCACCACCATCTCTCAGGATGTGGAGGAAGAAGAGTTCGCTCACGCCCCCGCCAAGCCCGAGGCCCCCATGGACTCCGTGCTCAAGGACATAGCCACCATCATCCTGAGCACCTTCCTGCTCATCGGCTGGGTGGCCTTCATCATCACCTACCCCCTGGTAAAGCTCAGCACCCCTCCCCCGTGCCCTCCCACGTGTTTCCAGACTTCTGTGCCCGTCACCTGATGTCAGTGAGGTCTGGACCAAAGCAGCAAGCAATCAAACACATTTCTTTTCACATTTAAAAGTTAATACTGGCTAATCCTCAGAAAAGGACGATTTTGTACCTACATCTTACAGTCTGACTGTACAAACTGATTTGTAAACCTTGCTTTGCAGTTCCTTTTGAGTAGTTAACTATATTTTCTTTTTTTAATAGAATAGTCCTAATAGTTGAACATCTTTTTAGCTTTCTTCCCTTAAAAACGGACTGTTAGAGATGCCAGCTAGAGGGGGAAAGGCAGCCTTCTCGTCCCTTCCACTTTCTCGTTGGAAATACGTGAGCTAAAATCACGTGGTTGTGTGGGTTGGGTGTGGGATGAAATGTGCTGGAGGAATATTTCTTCAGCGGTTGCTCCGAGAGCTGAGACCTCATCACCTTGGATCACAGTGCTCAGGCACTCGTTTATAGGATGGACATTAGAAACTCTTTATTTTGGGGTCACTTTTCATTTGTTTAAATGGGTTCACCTGCATTATTTTATTGTATTTCTTAAGCCTTCTGTCACCTTATGAGGTCATTATTATTTATCCCCTACCCACCAATGAAGAAACCAGACTCTGGGAAGTTAAGTAACTTTCCCAAGGTTACTCAGCTAGTAGATGGTGTTTCCAGGATTTCAGCCTGAGGTTAAGAGAGAGGGAGAGAGCACCAGAAAAATCCCGGGGGTTGTTGGACACCACCTGTCCCTTCAGTCACCTCTCCAAGCCTGGGTAGTATTGATCATCAACCACTCTGCTTCAGATTATGCCAGATTGAACTTTCAGAATAAATGAGAGATGCGTGTGAGTGTGGGAAGGCAACGTGGTGAAGTCAGGGGGAGCAGGACCCGGGCCAGGCCGCTGCGTCTCGGCCCCGCTCTGCCACACCCAGGCAGTGTGCCTGTTGGCTGATGGCTGCCAGGTACTGAGCCCCAGCTGCTTCCGCCGCTGGATGCTGATGGCTGTGCCCAACCTTTGCTGAGTGCATGGCCACAGTTAGTAAGCGGGTCTTCCCTGTATCCACCACGCTTTCAACCAGTGCTCCTGTTCGGTTTCACATTTGTAAGAACTTCCAGACTTTCATGAAAGTGCCCCCTCTGGTGCCCCTGCCTGGTGGCCATTCGGCCCCTGGCAGGCCCCTCCAGTGGGGAGAATGGGCTGTCCTGGGAAGTCTAACTGGCAGAAAGACCTCCTGGGCCTTCCCACTGGTGTGCCCCCAGCCCTGTGGGGTCATAGGTAGTGCACTTGCTGCCCGCCGGCGTCCCCTGAACAAGCTGCGCTGACTTGTCTGGATGTGTGTTTCTCTTCCCAGAGCATGCATCAACAGCAGCAGCTCCAGCACCGACAGTTCCAGAAGGAACTGGAGAGAATCCAGCTCCTGCACCAGCAGCAGCTGCCCTTCCACGCACCTGGAGACGTGGCTCAGGACACCGAGCTCCTGGACTCGCCCGGCCTGTACTCGGAGAGCTCGGGCACCAGCAGCCCCAGCCTGTCCCCCAGAGCCTCCAACCACTCGCTCCACTCCAGCAGCTCTGCCTCCAAGGCCGGCGCCGGCCCCTTTCTGGACCAGGATGACGAGGGTAAAGCGAGTTGCTCTGTGGTGCTCTTTGCTCTTTCATCTGAATATCACCTGAGAGACGCAGCACCATAACCTTCCTGGGAGCATCCATGGGGTGAATAAAGTGCCGTTGTTCCCAAGGGATCAGGGTGCCTCCCCTGACGCCCTCCCACTCTGGGGACCGCGGCTCTGTTCCATCCCATGGCCGCTTCCCCTTCGAGAGCCCTCCTTCCTTCTTGCCCCACGAGGGCCGGAGTCACTGCTGACCAGAGGTGCACCGGCCATCCAGTTGGAGCGCATTCCCAAGGGCAGCCATGGCCCAGGCAGAAAAGTGCAACTGCTGGTCCTCTTTCCCCTGGGAGGGAGGGCAGGCCAGTTGTCAGGACAAGGGACCTCAGAGTCCTGAGTCTCCAGCTGGAGACTTGGCAGCCGGTCTCTTCATTTCACACGACTGCCATTGCTACCGGAGTGTTTCAGGCACAAATCTCTGAGATGGGCCTGTAGGGGACCCCCATTTTGGGAAGGTGTAACACATCCATTCTCACATCAGCATGAAGGCAGGATCGGGGGGCAAGGGACAGGGAAGGAGGTGGCGAGGGGAGTGGACCCAGGGGACTGGGGTGTAGAGCCTCTGGGGCGCTGCGTCTCAGCGTAAGCTCAGGAAGCCAGTGGCCATTCGAACCTCAGGGTCATTTAGTGTTTGTTTGTTTCACACAACCCCGTCTTTGTCCTGTTCCAGACGAGGAAACCAGCACGGTGATGGTGGGAAAAATCTCATTCTACCCCAAGGATGTTCTGGGCCACGGAGCCGAGGGCACCATTGTGTACCGGTGAGTGGGTTGGAGGGCGCTGTGTCTTCCTCACGCCGGGCGCAAGTGCCTGTCGGCGCGTTGGGCTCCAGGGGCACAGCAGGGGCACAGCAGGGGCACAGCTGGGACTCAGATGGAAGCCGTCCACCTCCAGGCGCTACCTGCTGGTTGGCGGGGGCCTCCTGGGCTCCGAGGCTGATGAGTGGCTGCCGTGTCACAGGAAGAGGGGCACTGTGGGTCTACGGGTCTCCCGTCGTTTCCATAGCCCCCCCCCCAGCGCCTCCCAACCCAGCGGGCTCCTTGTCCTGCAGGGGCATGTTCGACAACCGTGACGTGGCGGTCAAGAGGATCCTCCCCGAGTGCTTCAGTTTCGCCGACCGGGAGGTCCAGCTGCTGCGGGAGTCCGACGAGCACCCGAATGTGATCCGTTACTTCTGCACGGAGAGGGACCGGCAGTTCCAGTACATCGCCATCGAGCTGTGCGCGGCCACGCTGCAGGAGGTGGGTGCCCCGGGCCCCCAGCAGCCCGGCTGTCCCCACTGCGCCTCCCTTCTCCCGGCAACCGGGGCGTGGCTTCAGGGACTGCCGACTCATTGTTTAAATTTCTTTTTATTAACTTTATTGAGTTTATAATATAGTGTACTCAAATGTACAGTTTGATGCATTTTGACAAAGTTGCTTTCCCATTAACCACAGTCAAAATGTAGAACGTTTTTATCAAACTGGGTCATCCTCTTAGCCTGCCTGGGGCAGTCTTTGGTTGTGGTTAGCATGTCTCTGGGCCTCCAGCATACCTGGCCAGTCCTTCATCCCAGGGCTGCTGTGGGCTTGGAGGATGCTTCGTGATGATTCGAATCATTAGGGTCATCCAGGGAACTCCTTTTCCTCAGTTTCCAGCTCACTGTGAGACTATTTCAGTATCATTCACTTCTTAGGCCTACCTGTAGGAGGCGATGACCTCGACTTTTTTGCCTCCTCATCTCTGTCGTTGTAGACTAGTAGGGTGGAGCTTGGTTTGTTTGTTTAAGTTAGCCTGTGGCTTCCGGAGAAAGTCTCCTGAAAAATAAGGATTTGGACAGAGAATATCATCAGTAAAACTTCCCATTTCTTTCTTAAAATATGATCAGAGAATATAAGCTGACTCAATACCAAAGAGCTAGAGGCATGATTTTTCTAAATAAAACTGAATCACTTTTTTAAAAAGAGCAAGAGAAGAGAGACACACACACACACACACACACACACACACAATGCCCCAGGGGGCCGAGTGGTCCCGAGGCCACTGATCCCGAGTCCCAAGGTCTAGCCCTGTGCACTTTGACCGAGCCACTGTGTCTGTTGCAGTACGTGGAGCAGAAAGACTTTGCCCACCTCGGCCTGGAGCCCATCACCTTGCTGCAGCAGACCACCTCGGGGCTGGCCCACCTGCACTCCCTCAACATTGGTGAGAGACTTCCCTTTACTGGACAACTGCCTGGGTGGGTGACCGACTTGCCCAGAGTCTGAGGTGGACCCTTACTCCGCCGAAAATCTTCAGAGGCGGCAGGTGCTGGCAGGCCGAGGAGGGCACACTGCCACCGCAGAAGGAGGCCGGGTGCTGCTCGTGGTTCACGTTGAACCAACCTGGAATTTTGCGTTAGTCCACAGAGACCTGAAGCCCCACAACATCCTCCTCTCCATGCCCAATGCACATGGCAAGATTAAGGCCATGATCTCCGACTTCGGCCTCTGCAAGAAGCTGGCAGTGGGCAGGCACAGCTTCAGCCGCCGTTCAGGGGTGCCTGGCACAGAAGGCTGGATCGCTCCGGAGATGCTGAGTGAGGACTGCAAGGAGAACCCCGTGAGTAGTGAGCTCAGTCCTTTGAAACCCGCAGCCTCTTGTATCTTCAGGAGTCAGGTCCGTGAACTTCAAGACCTGGGGTGGGAGTGCACGGAGCCGGGGCGACATTGGTTGAGCAGAGAGCGTGCTGCTGGCCTTTCCATATGGTCTCATGAGCAGGAGAACAAACGGGGCAAATGTGGGCAAGCGTCTGTTTGCTTTGCTCTTTTCCCTGTCAGTTCCCCCACTATTTGCATATTTACCAGCTTCCAGTTTCTATTTCTTTTTTATTCGGTTTTCGTTTTCCCAGCTTTTTATTTTGAGAATTTTTAGACATACAGAAAATCAAAAGACTGTGTCAGTGAGTAGCTCTGTACCTCTGCCCAGATTCACCATTTGGTAATATTTCTCAGCTGTTCTTTGTTGCTAAACCATTCGAATATAAGAGGAAGTCGTCTGGTCCTACACCCTCAAGTACCTCAGCACGTGGCCCCCAAGACAATTAACATTTGATATTTAATATTCACATTTCCCCGGATGTCTCTTATAGAGCTGGTTTTTGTCAGGCAGGGTCTGGCAAGGGTCTTGCATTGCATCTGACTACCCCCAGTCTACTTCTGTCCTCCGGCTGTCTTGTTCGATGGTGGCCCTTTGGAGAACGTAAGCCCTGGTCTGTGGAATGGCCGATTTGGGATTTGCTCCCTCGTTTCCTCGTGGTGGTGTTTAGCCTTTCTGCCTGCTCCTCGTATTTCCCGTGAACTAATAATAGCTCTAAGGGGTTGTTTCGATCAAAGTTGAATGTTTTTGGCAGTAACAGTCACAGGGCCCAGCATCAGGAGGCACAAAGGCGGCAGATTGTATCACTCTTTTGACACCCCGGGCAGTGATGCCAACTCGGCTGAGCTGGCACAGGTGACGACCATTTTTCTCTCCACATGAAGTGTGTTTTCCTTTTTGTTGTGAGAAGTGTGTTGGGTGATGTTTGGGCGCAGCGTGAATGTCCCGTTCACCAGCAGTCATTCACTGAGGCTGCAGCGCCCACTGAGAGGCCTTCCCCGAGTCACTGAACTCGGGAAAGTCTTCTGCCTTTATTAGCCGACATTTTTGTGTAAAGAACTTTGCTTTTTATCCCCTTTCTCTCTGTTTTCTTTTTTTAAATCACTGTGGATTCATGGACTTTTAAAATAGTGTTATAATCCATCATAGTCCTTTTTTACTTTTCTTTTTTCTGTTTCTCCTTTTGATGCTCAAATTGTCCCAGATCGAGCCAGCGGGAGCCCTTCAAGCTGGCTTCCTCACCTGTTTGCTGAGAGCCCATTCGTGTGGCAGCGCCTCGCTCTCTGGCACAAGACATCAGAGGCCCACCCCACATGTCCCTGACCCAGACCTGGACGGGGTCAGCCAGCCTCAGCCAGACCCAGTTCCTCAGAGCCCTCTTACCCCGTTCTCTGGGGACCAGCAGCTGGCCAGTTCATGAAAAGTCAGTTACAACAACGAGTAATAAGGAAATGCATCACACTTTAAACATTTTAACTTAAAGCAAGTAATGTGACTTATTAAGTACTAGAAATCTGATGTAGGTCAAGGTCTTTTTCTTCAAATCTGGGTCCAGCTGATGGAGCTGTTGGGTTCCTCTCTTGGGTAAAATGCACTCGCGTGCCACTCCTGCGCCTTCTCGGTCGAGACTCCGACGTTTCAGACACTCCAGGGAGCGGAATCCTAGTTGGAACTGTTTCTGTCCCAGTCCCTTAGAGTTGAGTCTCCCACATCTAATTCGTAGGGGTTTTATAGCCACTCTCTTTTACTGCATCTTGGCAGAGACTCAACTCACCTCAAACTTGGTGGCAGTTGTATTTTAACAGCTTATGGAATATTTAAATTGTGAGAACAAGTGGCCATAGTAAGTTTGGCGAAGAACGAAACTGAGTGTAGAGATGAGCTGGTGGGAGCAGAGGGACCCAAGCACCTAGGACAAGAGCCCCCAGTGTGCGCGTTGGGTGTGCGGGGGACCTCAGGCAGCCGGGCTGTGGAAAATGGGGGGCTTTAACGATACCGTTAGTGGGTCAGGTGACAGGTCAGAACTCCAGCTGTGGTGCACTTGTTCCTCCTGTCCCAAGTCTGTCCCCCACGTGAGGAAGATTCTGATGAGACCATATGAGGATGGCTGGGCTTGGGAATTAGCACACCTGAGCGGTGTCCTGGTTGTCACCGTCCAGCAGGAACTCTGGGCTTGGCATGGAACCTTTCTGTCCCGTCTTTATCCGGGGATGGTGACATTTGCTGCTCCCCTCGTGGGGCTGTTTAGAGGATGAATGACAGTCTAGTGCTGTTATAGGTGTGTTTTCTCCAGCGTGGAAGGTGACGAGCCCCTGGCTTTCTCCCACGGGACCCTCATGAGTCCACTGGAGACTCGAAGTGGCGGAGGCTGCTCGGGGCCGCCCAGCTTTACTTCTGAGCAGTGTGAGCTAGAAATCACCCACGTGCGTCTCCCTGGAGAAAAGCTCCTGCGTAGACAGAGCGGTTCTGTGGGATGAGTGAAGGCGGCATCAAAGTGTCCTCACTGGAAACTGGCCATGTGATTTCTTTCTGGGGCTATTTCTGACCCAGCAAGTGTTTTATGCACCTACTAACAAAGTTTTTAAGACCTGTCGTAAACAGGCACTATTCCAGGCGCTGGGGGTACACCAGGGAAGCAAATGCACCAGAATCTCTGTCTCCAAGGAGTTACCTGCTGCCTGGGTAAAGAGTAAGGAAGGGCTAGGAGAGAGCTCCCTATTGGCCACACGCTGGTTACGTAAACTTTCATGTATGAATGCGTCTTCACATCACCCCATGAGGAGTGTCGAATTGTTCTTTCTCTCCATGTTACATTGGAGGACACTGAGGCACAGAGTGGCCAAGGGACTCCCAACTGGCAGGTGGCAGAGCCAGCGTCCCCAGCCGTGGGCTCCAGAGCCCACGTTCTCCAAGGTGATCACCAGTGCCCACGCGGCACCTGCAGGGCGCCCAGCACTGCTCCGGGCAGCTCCCAGACACTAGCCACCTCTCCCCGGCACCTTCAGCATGGAGGAAGCAGCGGCCACACTCCTCTCTGTTGCTGAGGGGGCGGGGGGCTGCCCAGAAGGCCTCTCACGCCCCACGCTTCTTTCAGACCTACACAGTGGACATCTTCTCTGCTGGCTGCGTCTTCTACTACGTGGTCTCTGAGGGCAGCCACCCGTTCGGCAAGTCCCTGCAGCGGCAGGCCAACATCCTCCTGGGCGCCTACAGCCTCGACTGCTTACACCCCGAGAAGCACGGTGAGCGGGTGGGAGGGGCAGGAGCCACTCAGCTGCCCCCGTGGCCCCTGTGGCTGGGGTGGTGCCTGGCACATGTTCCCAGAGATCCTCCTCTCTAGCCACCCACCTGTGGCTGGGAGGGGCTCTTCTTGGAGCGCCTCCTTCTAAAGCCAAGAGGCTCCGAGTTTCCTTCAGGTCACCCAGTTAATTACCTGTGTGACGGTCAAGACCTGCTTTGGGAGCCTCTGTTTTCCAGCTTGTGACTTGGGAAGGTTAAACAACCTGAGGTCCTTCCTGCACCGACGCTCGGGAAGTCGCATAGTCTGTGCCCATGAGCAGGACAGTCTCTTGTCTGCACCAGTGGTCAGCGGGTGCAGACTGGGCTGGGGACAGGCCAGCTCGGTCCTCACTGTCCAGGCATGGGTGCCACAAGTCCTTCCTCCTGGCTGCAGGGTTCTCTGTGTTATAATTGGCCTGTGGCACTCTAGTTTTTTTTTAATTTTTAACTTTTTATAATTAAAACTTACTATTTTGTTTATGGATTAATTTTCCTTATTCCCTATAGAAAAAAACAGATTAGCTTGAAGCCTGTAATTCCGTTACCCAGTGATGAATGACTGCTGTTGTACCTTTGCATATATTATTCTGGACATGTATGCATATTTTTATTTTAAATGGGACCTACTGTTTTGCAACATGCTCCTTCTTTAACTTCACCTTGAACATCTCTCTGTCCGTTCAGCCAGGGTGTCATTGTAATGGCCCACATTTCAGGATACGGAGGCATGGCCGTGACCCACGCCTCTGTGAGTGGGTGTTTCCAGGCCTTTTCACACCTTATGTGGTGAGGACTCTTCTTTTAGCCAAAGGTTTTGGGCAGGCTCTTAATGAGGTTACTGGGATGGATTCCTGTCGTGGCATCTCGACTCCAGGGCCGTGCACATGGTTACGGTTGGGGTAGTTCATGTGGCATCAGGTCGGTGATGACTCGAGGCGCGTTTATTGTCCTCTGCTGCAGAAGATGTCATTGCCCGGGAGTTAATAGAGAAGATGATCGCGATGGATCCTCAGAAGCGCCCGTCAGCCAAACACGTGCTGAAACACCCGTTCTTCTGGAGCCTGGAGAAGCAGCTGCAGTTCTTCCAGGTGGAGATGCGGGTTTTCTGTCTCAACTTTCCATTTAACGTTTTTCGGATTTTGAAAAGATAGCAAGAGCAAAGAGTAAAACAAACAATCCATGATCCCATAGCTGAGAGGTAACCAGGCCTGAAATTTTAATGTATTTTCTTCATAAAATACGAGTGTCATTAGGATCAAACTATAGATACAGTTTTGTATCTTGCCCTTTTTTTTTACCATATCTCATATTTTAAGTATTTTTCCATGTTAAAGTTCTAAAATTTTAATACCTATTAGATTCTATCATATGGGCATGCCACAATTTTTAAACCTTTTATTATCGGAACTTTCAAAGGCACTGAAAAAAGTAGAGGGAGCATGACAGTGAACTCCCAGTTCGCCGCCAGCCAGTGTCAACGATCATTAACTCTCCCTCCTCCCTCTTCCCACCTCTCCCCACCCCGGATTATTCGGAAGCAAATCTCAGGTGTCATAACATTTCATTCAAGTTTCATAAATTTAAACATTTCCTTACCTTAGGTTTTTTTCTATTGTCTTGTACTCAGTTGTTGCCCAGATCTTAAGGTAGACTCTTGAGAGGTTAAGTGATAGGGTCAGTGAATATGAACTCCTCTAGTGATTTGGCTACTTAAGGCCTCGTGGTTTTGCCAGCTGGCTCTGGGGAAAGGTGTGTTTCCCAGTCTGTCTGGTGTGAAACGCGGGTGAGGTGCTCCAGGTCTGTGGACAGGGGTGCGTCCCTGTCCTCTCCCTGTCATGGGGACGGTCAGGGTGGGCCTCTCCCCCGTGAGCCACAGACCTGGCCGTGCCCAGGGGAAAAGCGAACAGAACTCGGGGGAAGGCAGGATTCTCACTGCCCAGCTCAGAGGCAGCTTCAGCCCCAGCTTAAGACTCATGCCGCAGTGGCTGCTCTGACTTGGGGTCGGTCCTCCAGCGCCCAGCCTCTCTCTGCACCGACCATCATCGGTGGCCCTCGCTTCCCTCACAGGACGTGAGTGACCGAATAGAAAAGGAGTCCCTGGACGGCCCGATCGTGAAGCAGCTGGAGAGAGGCGGGAAGGCTGTGGTGAAGCTGGACTGGCGGGAGAACATCACCGTCCCCCTGCAGACAGGTGACTGCCGGAAGCCCCTGGGGGTCGGTAAACATTGGCACAAAGGTCTCAAAAGCTGCAGCCATTTCTGAGAAGCTCGTGTGGAAATGGCGGCCCTAGGCTGTTTGGCTACAGGTGGGGCTCTCCGTGGCTTTGGTCTGTGGTTTGGGTACAAGTCAGAGCGTGACACTGTGTGTGCTTCACTTCTGCCGCTGACAGTGACAGGGCAGTGGTGGGTGCCCTGCGTGCTCACGGTGGTTATTCCTGGCCGGGGCTGCAGCCAGGAGCTGGGGGCACGCTCCTGTCACCGAGGGGCGTGGAGTCGGGTGGCTGTAGTCTGGCCACCCAGTTCCCGGGAGCCCCAGAGGTTGCTTTCTTTCACAGTGTGTTGCATTGCATTTCTTGTTTTTTCCCGTAGATCTGCGTAAATTCAGAAGCTACAAAGGCGGCTCCGTCAGAGACCTCCTCCGAGCCATGAGAAATAAGGTGAGGGCTGGGAACCCGCAGCACAGCCGTCCCCCTCTTGCCCGTTCTCCACGCATCCCCCGTCCGTCCTGGGGCTCTGACCTCGCAGAGGCCGGGAGGCCTCAGCCAGACTTGACAAACTGGAGACTTTCTCCCCTCACTCGGGTTTTCTCTTCAGGGACGTTGGGGTGAGCAGTTACCTGGGGAGCAGGCTCTCTGATGCCGGTGTCCTTCGTGGTCCCCGCTGCCATGTCAACCGCTCTGACAGGACCCTCTGGGCACCTTCCCACACGGGCCTGGCCCCCACTTGTTCTCTGGAGGGATCTGGGTGCTCTTGGCCTGAGCTGTCACTGAGCAGCCTTCCGACAGGGCCTTGGACCAGACGAGGCCCCCAACCCCTTGGGACAGACATTTCAGTTCCAGGTGCCTTTACTCCAGTCGAGGCTTCCAGGAGCCTCGCTAAGTGCCAATGTCACTGGTGAGGGGAGGCTGGCAAGGCGAGCAGGATGGATTGTGGGCCACCTAGACTTCTTCCCTATTCTTTACAGAGAACCAACTAACATTCTGTCTTCCTTGAGTAAAGGGTCCCCACCAGCGTTTCGCGGGTGCCCAACTAACAGCCCGTGTTGCCCTGTTTGCAGAAGCACCACTACCGGGAGCTCCCCGCGGAGGTGCGGGAGACGCTGGGCTCCCTGCCTGACGACTTCGTGCGCTACTTCACGTCGCGCTTCCCCCACCTCCTCTCCCACACCTACCGGGCCATGGAGCTGTGCAGCCAAGAGAGGCTCTTCCAGCCCTACTACTTCCACCCACCCCCGGAGCCTCAGCCCCCCCGGACTCCAGACGCCCTCTGAGCCAGGGCGGCCGCTGCTCTGGTGGCCCCGCTGTGACTGAGGGCCTGACCCCACTTAGCAGGGAGACCAAGCTCCCAAGCCCAGTGCCTTGAGCTGCCCGCTCTGCAGCCAGCAGAGGAGGGTGCTGACCCCAGGGAGGGGGAGAGGCGGCCCCCCTGACCTGCAGGAAGCTGGGGAGACGGCGGCTGCGAAAGCTTTACCATCAGGGCCCCTCCCCCTCCTCCTGGATAAACTTGCTTCGGACTCTGTTTCTTTCTAAACTTCCTGTTTGATGTCAGCCAATGGGCCTTTAAGGAAGAGAGAGGAAGACACCCCGAGTTCTGCTGGGACCTGGAGCATCTCTGCGGGGCCCCAAGTGCAGCCTCTGCTAGAACCGGGGCTCGAGAGGTGAGCGGTGCCGCAGAGGAGGAGGACGTTCAGGGGTGTCGTCCCGGGGACAGATCACCGATGGCCGACACAAGTGTGCGCAGACAGCTCCGGTCACTCTAACCAGTGTTTCCCCCGGGGACAGCGAGAGCCTTGAGCATGGGGGACAGTGTTGGGACGGGTCAGCATCGCACGCCGGGAAGTGAGGCCCTGTCTGCAGGTCTCAGGAGTGAAGAAGATGCTCTGTTCTGAGGCAGCAGCAGCCCAATGTACCAGGGGCCTGATGGTGGCTTTTCGGTGGCTTTGTGCCTGGACCATGTAGGGATGTTTAAGGGCATTTGGGGGCAAGACGTGATCATTCATTCCCAGGCCATTGAGGAACCCAGGCAGGGACGGGCCTTTGGGACCGGAGCGGTGCATGGGCCTCATGGGTCACCTGGCCACCCTGGGAGAGCCCTGGGCCAGAGGGCAGGCGATGGTGTTTCCCTGTCCCTGGAACCGGCAGGATAGGCCGAGGGGTTAGGCAAGGCCAGGGTCTCCACGTACTTCGTGGGCAGGATTTTATGTTTTTCTTGGCAGATTTTAATAACTTTATATTTTGATCATACTGTAGAATGCTACATTAGCACAGGTAAGCAGAACTGAACTTGAAGCTTACTCATGAAGAAGAAATGCAATACAGCTACTCTGTGTGGTACCCAGAGCCCCCATCCCGCCCCCCACCAGAAAGAGTGTTCGTATTCAGGACATTCTCTAATGCTGATGAAGAGTAAAGCGTCATGGCGACGCTAGACACATGTGTTAGACAACTTCAAAGTAATAGTCCTTAAATTATGTCAGTCCCATTTTCTCTCCTAAATTTAATGTAATTGGTCATTTTAGTTTTAGTCAGGAATCCTATCTTTTCTCCACCGAGAGCCTTAGAGGTTATATGCAGTCAGGGTACCACGTCAGGGAGCGTGTTCGGTGTGCTTCTCCAGGTGGGTGAGTGGTCGCCGTGGTTCGGTCCAGGGAAGCTCAGTGTTGCTGTCAAGTTTCTGTGGCCGACGGGAGTCACTGTTTCTCCTCGTGAGGTGTCTGGGGGTGGGGTGTGTGTGTGTGTGTGCGCGCGTGCGTGTGCGGAGGCCACTCATCAAAGGCTCCCGTTCCGCCTTCGTGGAATTCCGTCTCCCTCCTCTCATAATGCCTGAAGTCACTGTTTCTCTTAAAGTGTCCTGTGTCCTTCGGCCTCATCAGTTACCTCACTTAGACCCGGGAACCCCAGCATCCTCGGGGGGCCTCGTGGGGCCCTATGCCACACCGTCCCGTTTTCAGGGAAAGCCAGAGGGGTTTTGTCTCCCATCTGTGATTGGCCTGGGCCAGCTCTGTTCTGCAGGCCACTTTGCCACCACGCCTGAGTGGGGGCAGCCCGAGAGACAGGACGAGAAGGTGGCCAGAGTGACTTGGTGGCCGGTCAGCTTTCCATGCTGGACGGGCTGCTGCTGCTGCGTCGCTGCTGAACGTTTTCCTTCGTAGAGCAGCCAGGTCACTGCCAGCTGCCCAGTACTTGTCGTCTCTCTGTTTTGGTCTGATTTGCCAGCAAGATAACTGTTGTAAAAAGTGCATTTTCTTATCATGTCCAGTTCTAACCCCCCAACTTTCTCAAACTCACTTATTCAGTGTATTATATCTGAGCCCTTCCCATGTGGGCCAGGCGGTTACTGAGGGCGGGGGACACAGAGATGGACTAGGCGGGCAAACCCCTGCTTCCGTAAGAGCCCGCAGGGCGAGGCAACAAGTCAGTGCTGGTGCCATGCGGAAATCCCAGGGTGGGGGGCTGCGGACATCTGGGGTGTGCGCTTCTTTAGTCGTAAAGCCGCCGGCATCGCAGGACCCACCAGGGCGGGTCAGGTCACCTCTGTCCATCTTTTCTTCGTCACCTTTAAGACCTAGTCACTCAACAGTCCTTCAGGGGGGTTGAAGAGCTCTTGCATGGACTCTTGTCTTGGAAACACCTTGGGCATCCTGTGGCGTATCCCGTTCCGGTCTCCAGAATTCAGGTTTCCTGTTGCACAGCTGAGCTACTTGACCTTTAATGTACTTCCCAGGAGGTTGTCGAACTTTTTGGAAGTACGCATTCTTCACTCTCGTGACTGAATTTGGTCGCATCTGTTATGGATCCCAGGGACACTATAATTCATTCCGATCTTGTGTTGAACCTTATATTGAGTCTCTGTCTGGCATGCCTGCCAGAATTCTTGGGTTGCTTCTTGAGTCTTTTCAGCTTTCACAAAGACCTCCACACGTCACCACGTGTCAGAGCATCAGCACTTTTGGGGATCAACTGGCGTCATGTGACAAACCACTAACCCGTCTAGTGTCCGAGGTAGAAAATCCCGGGTGCAGAGGTGCCCTCCCCCGGGTCTCTGCAGTCCTCGTCCTGGGCCCTCCCTGGAAGGAAGTCACTGGGGGGTCTCGTACAGATGAGCCCAATCTCTGCCTTCCAGGGATGGACCATCATCTCTTAAACCAAACTGTCTACTCTTCTGTACTTTCGTTATGAAGCAGTGACTTCCCATGAGTAACTCTGGTTCTGACTTTTGTAGCAGCATTGAAATCTTTTCTGTATTGATTGCAAACCCGCAAAGAACCACCTTCAGGGAGCCCCCGCTGGAGCAGCCCTAACCGACAGTTCTGGCCAAAGCCCCCCCCAAACCCCATGCTCTCTGTGTGCCTGGTGGGTGCAGTGTTCCTTTCCAAGTATCCCAAAAGCTGTGACGGGGGTGTCCCCACTTACCTAGCATTACCAGTCAACTCTGCAGCATTTTCAGATGCAAACTTTATGTAGTGTTCTTTTTGCAATGCCCTATTTATTTAACCTATTTATATTTATTTAATTTTTACTCTGAAGTAGATCCAGTTATAATTGCACTTGCTTTGAAGCACAGAAGATTTGTTCTGGACAACACCCCTGACCGTTTTTAAACTGGAAAAGGAAAAGTCATACTGTGCCCTTCCACAGGGCGGATGCCTTACAGTAGTTTTGTTAGTAAAGGCTGAATAATTTGGTCGTGGTAAATATGTTAATTTTTAAGTGATTTTTTAAAAAAAGATTTCTGTGCCATGTGTCTTTCGCGTGTCTGGTTCACTGTTAAATGTGTTCACTGTGTGAGGCAGCCCTCTTTGTGAAGCCTAGAATCCTCCTTTTTAGCTTTATATTTTATAAATTGCCAGATTGTACAATTTTTATGTGTATTTTTAAAGCTTGATGATGTGAGGGTAATTATATAAGTTAAATGGCCTATTTTTGTACCTCCTGTACAGTTTTATAATTCTGCTGATTGTTGATGGCGTCTTATGTTGAGCCAACCACAAATAAAGGTAGTTTTAGATTTGGAAGCCGTTTCATCTTCTTCAACACTCGACCCCCCGTGCTCAGACCAGGGCGTCTTCCCAGCTGTCTTCTTGGGGGCGGGGCGGGGGGGCGTGGGCAGGGAACATAGTTGCCGACTGGGACCCACGGCAGGTAACGGGCCAGAACGTCCATCCTCCATGTGGCTGTTTGTGGGAAAGGTCCTTTGAAACGTGGCGGGAAATCCCCCAACGTATTGATTTGGGCCGAATTCCAGGAAGGCAGCCGAGTTGGGACAGACCGGCCTCGTGAGAACTAGGCTCCAGGAGAGCCTGGGGCACATGCACAGTGAATAGGATACTGGGCCAAGAAATCCAGGAGGAGAGAGACTCACTGAGGTCCCTCGGCCATCACGGTGCTGGGAAAGCCACCACCTGAGTGTGTCAGAAGCACGGTATGTCCTCCTCACGCAAAGGAAGGAGCGCGGGCCAGTCGGGCCAGGTTTTAGCGTCCTGCCTTCACGCTTTCCCCTCCCAGCCCCCGGATGAAATCGGAGCAGACTGCTTTCTCCTGCACCCCCAGAAGGGAGACACCAGAGGGTCCGCCAGCTTCGTGACAGCTTAGCTGGGGCTGTGCTTCAGGACTGGCTCCTTCCCCTGGGCCCACCACTGTGCCATCCCCCCCCTCGGTGAGGATCGTGGACACACCTTTCCACCCTCTTCAGCCCAGGACCCCGCAAAATCCAAGGGAGCATGAGGCGCTGCAGCTGACGTTGGTGCCTGCTTGCTTTCCATCACCCAGTGCAACGACAAAGACAGCTCCTGGATTCCCCACACACTGTTGAGCCAGGGCTGTGTCTGTCTCTCGAACTGGCCCAGGCCGGGGAGGGACGCAGCTGGTAACACCCTTAGCTGCTTCTGAGAACAGAGAAGAGGCCAGCAGGTGGCAGATGCTGACATGAGCCAGGGCCATGGTTCCGGCGCACTGAGGCAGGGTTTGCTGAGGCTGCAGAGATGTCTCAGCATCTGATCTGTTTTATTAGACACATGCAAAAAGGTATACACAACCACGTTCCGTCAGTGCACGCACTGTTTGTACTCTGTATTCGTCTCACTGGCATCGTGTGTGCTAGACCCGTCTGTGCCTTAGCTTCAAGAGATCAAGACGACGGCCCGCATGAGAGCCTGGCCTGCCTGCCCTCCCTCTGGGCCCGGGGCTGTGCTGGAGCATCCTGTGTCCCGATCGATCATCGGCCGTAGTATCTTTCACTTTCCTGAGAGACTGATGGGACTCTGGCAAGGGCAAAATCCAGGTCTTGAGCCCATGTCCGGGTGGATAAGCCGGGTGGGCAGAGGGACTGGCGAGTGCCTGGGAAAGCACGTTCAAAGATGATGGGGCTGGAGGGGCCCATTTCCAGAAACAGGAGGCGCAGCACAGCTGGGCAGGAACTGAGTGAAGTCGGCCCCTGAGAGGGTGGGCGGTGGGCCCGGTGAGTGCTTTCCCCGCTGTCTCCTCCTCCGGCCTCTCTGAATCCTTCATCTCAGGCCTGCTCAGTGATCTGGGGGAAGGAGCCACAGAAGTCCTCGGGGAGTGTGCCTGAAGATGACACAAAGCTGGAAAGAGTGAGTAACACCATATGATGCGTCGCCCCATTAGGATTCCAGGAGATGTCAGGAAACTAGAATACTGAGTCTAAACCCAAAGAATGACAGAAAGTCCTGCCTTGACATTAATGATGGGGCTGAGGAGGGAGGCTGGGCCTGGGAGGGGCCTGGAAACTCACAGATGCTTGAAGGAACCGACTCTCGGGTCCTCGGGAATCTGTCACGTGACAAGGAGCTGGCTTTGCTCTCTCGCTCCAGGTCTAAGCTGGAGTAGGGGGAGCAGCGTCCGGGAGGGCAGACCCAGCTCCAGGAGGAAGGGCTGTCTCAGCGCTTGAACTGCTCACCAGGGAAGGAGGCCTTGAGAGTGAGTGAGTGAGCGAGTGCCCAGTCTTGGGCTGGGCTGGGGCACGGCAGACAGGAAGCACCTTGTCCCGAGCAGACTGGGAAGATACTATTTTGGGGGTTCAAGGTTGGACTCAGGTCTCTCCAAACAAGCACATATGACAGAGGCCTGCCCCTCCCTGCGATTGGTTCCTGGAAAAGGGCTATCGGAGCAGGTGTGAACCACAGGAAGTGGGGAGGGGAGGCGCGGGCAGGGTGATGACGGTCCCAGGGTGGGGTGTTGGTTCTCAGGGATTCTGCCAGGGGGTGTCTCACATTCCAGACACACGTGCACTGAGGTGTGGCTGCTGCAAGGTGACAGAAATAAGGCCCACAGCTGACTCACTGAGGACAATTTGCCCAAGTTTGCACCTTAGAACACTAGTTCTGAGGGATAATAAACTTACCAAAAAAGGGGGGGGGGTATAATGACCAGGTAAATTTGAGAAGTGCTGTGTTAAGGAAAGATTCCCTATTTATGGCAATGCTGTTCAGAGGCCCTTCCTTGCTAACAGCATATTCTCCAGGGCTGGACATACACTTGCCTCCAGTATTGCCTTTAATTTATAAAAAAGGACGGTTGTTTGAGGGGCAGAACTAACCCTATGTTTTCATCACACCTTATTTTATTTTTCTCTTTCCGGACATCCAGGAAGACAGCATTCCCAGCCTCCCCCAATGTCTGCTTGGCGTGGGTGACTGATTCTGGCCAGTGGGCTGTGAGTGGCAGTAACGCGTCACTTCTGAGCCAAAGCACAACCCACCAGCCTTCCTCTGACAT